ATGCTGGTATAATGACGTTATTGAGAGTTACGGGTGGACAAGTATCTTTTCTAAGTGTAAATGTTATGTGTGTAGTTCCTGGGAAGCGGTGGAAGAATTTTTATGAACGCTGAGAAGAGCAGTATCATCTGCAAACGTGGATATTGTAATTTTTTGACTAGTCGGCAAATCCGATGTTAATATGAGATATAAAACTGGCCCAAGGACGCTGCCCTGCGGGACTCCAGCATTCACTTCAATCTCATCTGTGGTTGTATCCTTAAATTTTACCTTGAATTTACGTGTAGTTAGGTATGAGATTAATAGTTTATGAAAAGGAGTTGGTAAAATTTGCCTAATCTTAAAGATTAGACCTTCGTGCCATACTTTGTCAAAGGCCTGTGCAATGTCAAGAAATAGGGCAGAGCATTATTTTTTTTCTTCAAAGGCCTTTCTAATTTCGTTTGCCACTCAGTGAACTTGCTCAATTGTGCTGTGTTTATGCCGGAAACGAAATTGGTGAGTAGGAATGATGTTATTTTCTTCAATGAACGGGAGAAGCTTTCTTAACAAAATTTTTTCAAATAGCTTAGAAAGCGTTGGCAGTAAGCTAATTGGTCTGTAAGAGGTTACTTGTATTACATCCTTACCAGGGTTTGCAATCATTGTGATTTGAGACGTTTTCCAAGCGAAAAGAAAATATCCGACTCTAAACATCGCATTGCAGAAAAAGAAAACATTCTTATAGCAATACCCGGAAGCTGGGATATCATTTCATTGCTTATTAGGTCATGACCAGGAGCTTTTTTTATTTGAAGCTGGCCAACAATTTTCTTGACATCATTAGCTCTGACTTTTATTGGATTTGGAACACTTTACGCATTTCTAATGCTGGAATTAATTTCTAGATGACCCGTAGGTGGATTGGGTATAAAAACCGTTTGCAGGTGATCAGCAAAAGCTAGAGCTTTTTCCTCGTTACTCCTTGCCCAATTTCCGTTTCCCAGTCTTAGGAGTGGTTCAGATTTCTTTGGTCCTTTTAACCGCTTAGTGGCTTTCCATAATGACAGTTTATCTTTTCCGAAAGGAGAGAGGTTTTCCGTAAATTTCTGTATATTTTCGTCTAGTTCTTTATCCAAAGTTTCTTTTAATAGCTTAGCTGCTTGATAAAACATTTGCTTTCCGGATGGAGATCAATTTCGTTGCCTTTCTCTTTGTAGACGGCGTTTTTCTTTTAAAAGTTTTTCAATTAGAGCGGATGTCCTTTTTGGAGGCTTTGGATCATGGTCATGCATGATGGGTGTTCCGTGCACTGCAGCTGCGGTTATAACAGTTGCAAGATCATACAAGACTAAGTCTATATCTGTTTCATTTCTGAGCTTGGGTTTTAAGTTTAAGTGATTGCTGATGTATTTTCAGAACTTAATCCAATTCGTTTTTTTGGAGGTAAGTTGAAATGATCTTCCGTAGCAGAGTGCTTTATTTGAAACAGTTATCAGGAGAGGCGAGTGATCAGAAGACAACTCGCAACAAGTTTGAGAATTTATAAGGTTTCGGTCTATGCCTCTGACAACACCAATATCAAATAAATCAGGAATTTTACAGGAGTCTGGGGGCCAATAGGTGGGATGACCTGAAGAGGAAAAATGAAGGTTCATTTGGCGAATTGAGAGCGGTAAGTAGATTTGCCTTTAGGATTAATAAGCCGTGAACCCCAGTGAG